GTTGTTCCTTGCTGTTTGTTGTTTGCCGAATGTTGGCTTGTTTGTTTGTTATTGGTTGTTTGTTGTATGTTATTTGTTTGTTGTTGTGTGTTGTTTGTCGAAGTTGTTGATTTGGTGTTGTTGTAATTGTTCCTTTTGTTCCTTTTCTTATTGTTACTTGTTCTTCTCCTGTTATTATTCAAACTATGTTTGTTGTTATTGTCATTGTTGTGGTTGTCATTCTGTTTTGCTTGCTTGCTTACTTGCTCGTTCGCTCTCTCGCTTGCTTGATTGCTTGCTTGCATCCTTCTGCATCCTTCTTCGCTTGCTTGCTTGCTTGCTTGCTTGCGTGCTTGCTTGCGTGCTTGCTTGGTTGGTTGGTGTGTGTGTGTGGGTGTTTGTGAGTTTTTTGTGTGTTTGTGCGTTTGTCAGTTGCTTTGCTTGGTAGCTTGCAAGCTTGCTTGGTCGGTGGGTCGGTTGGTGGGTGGTCAGCCGGTTGGTTGGTGTGCTTGTTTGTTCATTTGTTTGCTTTTTTGTTTGCTCGTTTGTTTTTTGTTCTTGTGTGTTTGTTTTGGTGTCACGGGCTCCTGCGAACGTAGCCACTTTGTTTCCCGTCAGCTTTTCAGGCTCCGCGCAGCCTCTCAAGCGCGCCCGCTCAACACTGCGCAAAGCACAGCGCACAAGATTGCGCACGTGCCTGCCAAGTGGTAAGCACACCCTCTCACGTGCAGCACTGCGCACACGCCCGCCAAGTGGTAAGGACACCCGCTACCTGCTCGGCGCTGCACGTGGCTGCCACGTGATAAGCAAACCCATTCCCGAGCACCCGCTCAGCACTGCACATGCCTGCCAAGTGGCAAGCGCACCCGCTCAAGCACTGCACGCGCACGCCTGCCAAGTGGTAAGCACACCTGGACCTGGCTTTGGCTTTGGACGAAGCGGTTTGTGCCTTCCCATTTGAAAAGCAGGCAGAATGGCTTGATTAATCCAAATTTGTGGGACAAGGTGTAACAGTGGGTGTATCGGCGGAACACGGAGGTTTTGCGCGCACACGGGTCGTGGGGGACCAGTGTCCAAGCCGAATTGCGCTAAACGCAGGAACCTCCACGGGTCGTGTAACCTTGTTCTTGTTTCTTGGTTGCTTGTTTGTTTGTTTCTTTGTTTGTCAGTTTGCTTGATTGCTCCTTTGTTGTTGGTTAGTTGAGCTAGTTACGATTAGTTCCTCCTCAGAAATGCGAACCTCGATGCATTCGGTATCTAAGTTGGCAAAACCTTGGGACCAATTTTTGAGCGACCTCACCTACCGGGGGCGTGGCCGATTTCCAAACTGTAAAACAAATATGATGGCGCTGATTTTGTGACGCCAGGTGCGGTTGGTTTGGGAGGCCTACGTTCACCGGTCCCCAGTCACCAAGTGGCTAGGGCAATGGCCATGCCCTTCGGTGCCTGCACGTGACTCGGTTCCAACAGATTGGGGCAGGGCTCCCCGAGTTGCACTTTTGACTAAGGAGACTTAAACTCAGGTGTTTCTTGTTTGGGGAAATCAACCACTGGGTTTAAGTCAAGCTGTGTGTAGTCAAAAAGTGGAACCCTGGTTCCTATATTTCCCTTTCGGGTGGTTTTATAAACACCTTTTGGGCCCCTCCAAGCTGAGTTGCCCTTGGTAGCGGGCACCTGAATTCCATTGACGGGGATTTACGTTCACCAGCCTGCAGGATTGTTTTCGACTGTTTTGTTCCTCATCGACATTCATAGCCATTTGGAGTATTCAACTCTGCTTGACATTTCTTTGATGCAGTGCCACAGTTGCAACCACGCTTGCAGTACGGTGGTTGGCAGCAAAAGGCTCAGCTGGTCTCTGCTTGAAAGCTGAAGATGTGAGCTTTGGGGCCCAGAGGAGTGCGCTGAGGCAGTGCTTGGCCCTTGGCAGGGGAAAGCGCAGAGTATCCGCGGCCACGGTCCGTCTTGAACCATAGCAACGTGAAGGGGAACAATGTCAACAGCTTGAGCTTGTCCAAATGGGTGTGGCTCAAAATTAAACAATCGGAGGGGCAAACCGCAGGTTTTGGTACCCGTGTTTCCACTTACCGATCGGGCAACCCATGTTGGGAATTCCGTTTTTTTGGAGCCACACCCATTTTGGCAACCTCAAGCCGTGCTTGACATCGTTCCCCTTCACATTTTGCTATGGTTCGAGATCTGCCTAAATCCACCCATCTTCTCATTTTGAGTCAAGGCGATCTTTCCCCATTTCCCCCAGCAACCACGGGACTTTAGAACCACGGGTTGGCTTAAATCCCCGGTCCACGTGCATTCCCTGCAGCAAGAACTGATCGATTCTTTCCCATTCTCAAGTCCCAATAAAAACAACGAAGGAGGCGCGAAATCGCGCTTTTCTTTTCCTTTTTTTTTTGGGGGGGGGGGGAAGGGCTCCGATTCCTCTTTGGTGTCCTTCCATTTGTTTAAGTGTTATTATTATCATTGTTATTTGCGCCTGTTGCTTCTAAAGGGAATCTATCACTACTGCATGTTTTTTTGTTTTTTCCAGTGGGCTTAAGCAAATGGCAGTGCCCCACGCCCCATGAGACTTTTGTTCGGGAGTCAAACTGAGGAGACTTGCACGACTACATCTACGGGAGCTCTGTGGATTCTTTCGTGGTGCTGCTGGGGGAGCAGGGCTTGATGCCTCCCAAGGTGAAGCCTGTGGAGTGGACGCTCAAATCGCAAATCGCAAAGCAAAATCTGGGGCGTTTCTTGGGCATCCGAATCTCACCTTAGGCACGATGTTGGGGGGTCTCTTTTTTTTTTGGCACATTTGTCCAAATGCGATTTATTGTTCGCCCTGGTTCACTTATCTTTCGGTGAGAACCCAGGGTTCACAACTGGGTGGATCATGGTTAATTCATCCGGGGTCAACAAATTTGGGTCGGGCAGGGTTGCTCACCGAAATACAATGACCAAACTTGGGTTCAACATTGGCTTCCTTGTGCTTCCTTCAGAGATCAATTTGCAATCACATGGTTTTTGGAGCCCTGTGTCAATGGGCATGCAGAAGCTTCACTTCTGGACTTGTCACCCAAATCGCTGGTTTGAACCCGCCATAGCCGGGCTCCTTTTGGGACAACCAAAACCAAAAGGACCCCAAATGCTTTTGAGGCCGCCTCAGTTTGGCAATTGCAGTACAAGCCAAGTTTGCCCTGATTTTGACCAGTCAAGCAAGACCCAAGTATATGGGAACCCACCAGGAGAATGAAGGAACCCTCTTCAAAGGAGACTAACATGCAACTGGCTATATCTGTAAATGTTTGCCTTGCAAAAGGCGATTGCAACTCAACCTCTCAAAGTTGACGCTTTGAACAAGCTCCTTGTGGTGTTCCTTTAAAGCAGACGAGGGGTTTGTCCCTTCAAAAGAAGACCACTGGCTTTGGGACTGAGTGAGTCCTCTTGTCCTGATGACCAAAGATTGATTAAAAGACCAAGCCTGTGAGGGTGACGTTTATTTCAACCACCTCCCTTTGGTGTTGGTTAGACCAGAGGTTGACAAAACCACAAAAACGACCTCTGCTGAGGAGTGATTGGGCTCTCAAGGAGGCTTGGGACTTGGAGCTGCTGGAGCTCACCACCACCACCCTCCAAAACGTCCCCATGTTGGAGGATGGACCCGAGGGATCGGGAATTGGGGGGAGGTTCCCGCGCCCTAGGGGAGAAGACACCCCGAGGCCCAAACCGCGCATTCGTTTTCGACCCAGTTTCGGTTCGTTTCCACCGGAAGGTGCGCTTCGGGAAGGGCATGGGTGGCTGGGCAAAAAAAAATCAGGCTAGTCCTTCTTGTTGGTGGTTTCCAAGGAAACCAAAACAACCACTATTCGCGGGGGGGATTCCCCTAATCAAAAGGACACACCCATATGGCTGAGAAGTTTGAAGGTTGAAACACCCTGGTGGATGGAAATAAATATCCGTATAACATGACTTCCACCAAATGGATGTCCAATTTGGTTTGATTCCCAAAAGAGATTGTGTTTCAAACAAGGCGGGCTCCTTGACACGATTTGGAAGGGAAACCAACATCCAATCCTACCCCTCAACTGAGAAGGAATTAACACATGCCCGTGCAAGTAGCGGGATCCGCTTTGGATGTCGAGTCATCAATGAGGTGCGGGTATTGGACGTCTTCTCATACTCAAATCCGACGCACACCCATGTCATCTCTCACTTTTTGTGCTTTGGCACGTTTGGCATCTTAATGTCCAGAAATCTAGGGCTGCAAGAGACTCAAGTCAAGGCAACACGACACATACACCCCACACGCATACATGTATTGTTCACACATGGACTTGCACGCCACCTGGGGGGTACTCCCTTCATGTGATGACTCTTCCGAAATGCAAGAGTGCAACGGGCTAGAGCGAGTCCAGTAGACTTTCAAGCTGTCCAAGATTCGCCCTTGAGGGTCCAGGAATCTGTTGCATTGCCAGGACTTGACTTTGGCCTCAGCAAGGTTTATGAAGCTGTCAATCAAAGCTACGCAGAACCACTCTCCGCTCAGGATCCTTGAGTTTGCCTGCGTCGATTTTTGTCAAGCCAGATAAAATTTTCGGGGAGGTGTTCCCAGCTCAACAGTTGTATTGGTCATTAAAAACAAGAGAGCCCCAACAAGTCAGAGGTTTGCACGTTTGGATTAGGGACCCCGGTTGGGACCCAGCTGGTTTTGACGTTCCACAAAAAGCTGGACTTGTGGTTGGACCGCTTGGACCCCTTGGACAAACGTGGACCTTTAAGGGACAATCAAGGGCTCCCAAGAGGAAGCCAGTGTCCCGGTGTTTTTGAGGCCGGGGCGGGGATCAAAGCGATACAACCCCCCCCGCCATTTTCATTGGTTCCCCCATTGCTTCCTTAGCCAAACCCAAAGACATCCATCCACCAACGAACGAGTGGCCCCATTTGGAGACAAAGGCTTGGGCCACGCGATGGCTTAAACATGTTCGCACCCAACCGCCTTTGGGTCTTCCTTCAAGCAAGGTGTCCAGGGGGGGTTTTACAAGTTTTGCCCGCTGAGACAAGCCCAGCGGCTGAGAGCCTTTTTTTTTCCAGGCGATCACCTCTGCGCGTGTTGAATACACCTCCCCCGAGCCGACGGAAGCGCCTACAGCGCCGCCCGAGGTCGAGGCCGGAATGTTCCAAACTCCCCACCTGGGCATTTCCTTCTTGCCATGTTGGAGGTGTTTTTTTCGTGTAAAAGAGCAAGTGCATGAAAGGCACCGTCAACTTTTTGTCCCACTGAGGGTCTGTGTTTTGCTCAGTCTTCCGGGAATTAAGAGTGGACACAAATTCTGCGGAAGCGCCGAGGGTTTTGGGGGGATATCGAGGGCTCAACTCTGACCTTGCCAGCTCTGTGGGCATTGCTCCAGCTCCCAGCTCCCTGCTCCCGGACTCTAAACCCTCGCAAAACCTAACAGAAGGGCCCGCCATGGGGCATGCATCTTCGAAACACTGCAAGAAAGGCATATGTTGCATGCTGCAGTAGGGGCGTGTCCGAACACAATCTTCACAATGCTTTCAGAAAACACATTCAAGCAGAAGGGAAAACAACACACAATCCTCATCAGAGTCAATGTTTGGGTATGCCCCAAGCGTTCGTCCGGTAGGCTTTGTTTGTTTCGTTCACCGCATCTGCCTTAAATTGTAGGCTTTGAGAACTCACAGCACGCGGTTCGCCCTGTAGCTATAATTTCATGGTATTGTGTGCATAGAAACTGATCTTCCATGAATGTGTTGTTTGCATTTGGGCTGATCTGATCCTCTGGAAAGACCGTCTAGGGATCGTTTTGTGTTTTGGTTGTTTGAAGGTGTTTGAATTTAGACTCCTGTGGTCTTATGTTTAGATTGCTATGCATCTATGAGCACACAAAGGCACAGCAATAGCTGAGAATACAGACACGCACGCGAATATCAGACAATATGCACTCTCACGGTCTGGTCTGTTGGGGCTGGAGACTGTGAGAATTGTTGTGCAGCTGTTTGTTTTCCTTGCATACAAGTCTACGTATATTGTTTGCACTGGCTTTTTCTATGCAGAGTGTATGTTTACATTGTAATTGTAGTGTGGTGTTGTTTATCCTATTACTGTGTTGGGGAGACAATGCTGAACGCACGTGCTTTGTATGGATATTGTCAGAACCTTTCTCATCGCAACAGTAGTAAAGTAGAAATATCCATTTTGGTTTCATGTTTCCGTTAAACGTCTAGAACTGGCTTGTTGAACATTATTATAGCTTTTGTGAATTGTGTGTTCAGGCGCGAAAAAAGCATGTACGTGTTCAAGTCTGCGGTCAGCATTGACTTGTACAAGTGACATGTTGACGTTGGTATTTGTGCCTTGGCATTTGGGTGCTCGTTAATTAAGTGAAGCCTATCAGGACACCCACGTCAATAAGTTAGATTTTTGGGGAATGCGTGTTCGAATTCACAGCGAATGTCAGTTGGCAAAAGGGGCAGATCCTAGAAGGGGAACTAGCTTGCCTGCATAGATACATATTATGATGAACATAGAAAACCATACTTATGTTGAACCCTCTTTGCGCAACTTCTCGTCTATATATCTAGGTGTATTTGTGTGCAAGTGGCAAAACCCTTTATGGTTTACTAGCAGTTACAATGCCTAGTCTGAGAAACAATGTGTATGTATATATATATATATATTGAGAGGGCCAACTTGTAACTTTTCGTTCGGCCGGTTGCCTTGATACTTGAGCCTTGACGTTTGTATATGTGATTGCTTGTTGAATGTAAATGTGTCAGGAAATATACGTTTAGCTAGAATTAGGGGTTCGCATACACAAATTCGCCGTCAATTCCGGTGAATTGGTCTAGGGTGAAGATGCCAGAAGGGGTCTTAGATAATATATATATATATATATATGGTCACCCCCCCCCAGGGCCCACCTTTAACATAAACAACTAACATTTCATGTTTGCAAATCTTTGTTACAAATGTTGGGCCTCAAGAAAACACTGTAAAAACCAGTGTTTTTTGAAGGTTTTTGTTTCACAGATGCGTTGTGCCTTCAAGAGATGCATCCTTGCAGAGATCAAACTCGAAACCGGAATCCGGTTTCGATTTTGATGTTTATTACTTTGGAAAGTGTGCACCTGCCAGTGTTTTGTAGACATTGGAGTGAAAAAACACTGGGAAACCTTCCATTTTACAGGGGTTTGTTTACCCCTGTGCTCCAAAACATGCACAGGAACAAAAACAATGGAAGTGGAAGTCCCAAAACCTGCACAGGAACAAACAAAACAAAAAAAATGGAAATCCTGAGGGAGATCTCCAGGTCAGATGGAAAGTTCTCTCTGAGATTTTCATGTTTTTTTGTTGTTTTTGTTCCTGTGCAGGTTTTGGCACTTCCACTTTCATGTTTTTTGTTCCTGTGCAGGTTTTGGAGCTTCAAGATGCTGAAACATGCACAGGAACAAAAAAAATGGAAGTGGAAGTCCCAAAACCTGCACAGGAACAAAAAACAAAAAAATGGAAATCCTGAGGGAGATTTGCAGGTCAGATGGAAAGTTCTCTCTGAGATTTTCATTTTTTTGTTTTTTTGGTTCCTGTGCAGGTTTTTGCACTTCCACTTTCATTTTTGTTTGTTCCTGTGCAGGTTTTGGAGCTTCAAGATGCAAAGGGCTCACACGGTTCGTTTTGTTGGTGCTGGCAGCCATGGAAAACAGTCAAAACTAGCTCATTCCAAGAGCGCAGATGGCTCAGAAGCATTTCCTAGGACTGGCGTTGCAAGTCTTGCAACATCTTGCCAGTGGCTGCCCACATGTTGACACCCTTGTGCCAGTAGCACCACTGGGCGGAGCGGATGCGGCGTGTCAGGGCGGTGTTGCCCGGAGTGCGGTTGAAGTGCTTGATGTGGTTCCTCAGGAAGCCCCAAAAGCGGTCAATGATCTGAGTGCCCGCTTTGACCTTCAAGCGCTTGTTCTCAGGAAGTTTGAGGGCACGAACTTTGGTGTAATGAGGTTTCACCCACACAGGCTTCCCATTGACCATGACCTTCTTTTTCTGGTGAACTACATTGCAGTGCACCACCTGGGAGAGCTTCACCTTATAGGATCTTGCACCATCTGTGCGCAGGATGACGTGCTTGCCTTCCAAGTGCTTTTGGCCAATGGGAAGCCAATCTCTCTTGCGAATGGGTCCTGGCCCCGGTGCCCTCCTTTTGGTTGCAGCCGACCACTCGATCACAGACGAAGTGACTGCGGCCGACCTCGCTCCACCATGCCCCCCCACTGCTCCCACTCGATCACGTGCCCTGCCTTAGTGGGATGTTCGATCTCCCCCTTGCCGATGTCCACCTCGTCCATCTCGATGTCTTTCCACTTTTCCTGGCCACCGTACAAGATGTTCTTCTCCTTGTAAGTGACGTGGCGGGCCCTGGCGACATCGTTGTTGGTGTAGATGCGCTCCACTGCTTTGTGGTCTACGTCCAAGACAAGATGAGCAGCATTGCGAGGAACACCGGTGGTCGCACAGAAAAGGATTGCAGCTTGCGTGCCGAGTGAAGTGGTAGAAGAACCTGAGCCCGGGAAGAAGATAGGATGGTAGTCCTCAACCCTGACTCTTGCGTGACACTTCTTGGCGCTGCAGCGATGAATCCACTGGTCCCTGTCCTTGCGATACTCCAAGCGCCCCAAGTGACCATGGGCACACTTTGGACAGCGTTTGCCGTGCCATTCTGGTAGGATCCCATCCTTCTTCAAGAGCTGGATCAAGCGGCGACCCTTGTTGTTCAAGAAGTCAAGCACTGAGCGGCCCCACCTTTCTCTGTGAGGTCTAGACTTTTGAGTGGCTTTACCATGCCGTACATACAAGGTCTTGCTCTGGGACGCCTTCTTGCCACAAGGTCGCTTGAGAGCCCTTTCTTTGCCTCGTTTCGGAGCCGGCCACGCATGCCTTTTCTTGACCGTGTGCTTCATCACCTTCTTGGGCATGACTGCTACGCTGCTACACTTGAGAAGTTCTACAGGGCCAATCTACACATCCAAAAAAAATAAAGCTTGAGCAGGCTGGACAGGAGGTGGCAAACAAGAAGGTCATAGCACGCAAGGATAGAACAGGAACTGTTTTGCATTGTGCTGTGTGCGCACACCACTTTTTCCACCACAACACCTTTCATGATACAAAACTGACTGGTGCATGAGTATAGAGACAGAACAACGGGCTCTACTCAGGCCTCTGGCTCATCCAAGCCCTGGCCGTGATCAAAGACATCTTCATCGGAGACAACGTCCATCTCAGGGTTGGCATCCGTGCCTTCGGGAATCAAGTTCGATGCAAGGCGTGGGGGTGCAGAAGGAGCAGGTCCACCGTCCTCGTCATCAGACACAAGGTCAACAACGCCATAGTTCACGGGCTTCTTCTCTGCCGGCGCCATGAGCTCGGTTTTGACCTTCTTAGCTGGGGGGGAGTCCAAGTCAACACAGGCGAAGTTCTGCACACTCAACTTCTGCGTGAACACACTAGGCTCTGTCTTCACATTCACGGGACCAGCAGATGCAGCAGGGACAGCCAAGGCAGGTTGTACACGAGCAGGAGCAGGCTGAGCGGGTGCAGGGGAACGGGGAGGACGAAATACTGAGACTCGAAGTACAACATCGGGTCCATCCGATCCAAATAAGCTCCTCAAAGCTCTCATGTTGACCTCTTCCGGCATGGGGGGCATGTTGCGACCTTGGTTGTCCATCGCGCTGTGCATCCACGCTTCTTCCCACTGGAGATGTGTCTGACGATCCTTGGTTGGCTTTCGGTTGCCCATGCGGTACTGGATGTAGGCTTGCCCACCGGACTTGCGAAGCAGGGACATGTCGTCGTTCATGAGCATGCGGGGGACGCTTACCTCCTTCTCAGTTGGCACGCGCCAGTAGATGTACTTCTCAGTGACCAGCAAGATGCAAGTGCGTTTGAAGACTGCCTTGATATCAGACACGCTCGAACCCCTCATCCAAGCGGGCTCAACCATCTTGAAGAAGTCTTCATGTGGAATGGACAACCCCTGGAGATCGGTGGGCTCTGCAGACAAGTCGATGTCATTGGACATGTACAACCTGAGTTGGCCCTGGGGGAATTTGGCGGTCCCCCAGCGTTCCTTGGTCAGGACGCTATTCCCAACATCACAGAAGCCCTTGAGCTTCCTCATTGGCTGTTCTGCGAGAGACCCATCATCGAAAATGTCCGGGCGATCTTGCCGTCCTGACTCACCCCGGAAAAAGTCGAATTCACAGGCCTCCCGAAACCCTGGAGCGCTGTTGGTGTTGAGTTTCCGAATCCAGTACCTGGACACTGCCATGGCAATGGTGCGCCCCAACGGTGTCTTTCCAACGTTGGGAACTCCATGCATGCCCAAGGCCTTGTCCTTGAAGAATGGGAAGAGCTTCTCAAGAACTGTGAGGACTGAGGGATCCACATCAACCAAGGTCAACGGGAAATCATGTAATGGAAGAGCAAGAACACCATCATTCATGAGGTTGCGCAGGGCTTCCTTGATCAATCTTTCAGGCCAAGTATGGATGGGGCTTTCGCTGTTGATGAATTGCTTGGAGATCCATCGCAGCTGGGTGTTGCTGTGATGGGAGCGAGGCCCATGTTTTTCAATGAAGTCAAAGCCTTGATCGATGTCCTGCTCGGTGAGGTTCTGAAAGAAGTTACCACCCTTGTCCACTGCCTGGCTGCCACTTGCAGCCTGCAGTGAAAAACTTTGCACCTGGTACCCCCCCATCTTTTCGAACAAGTAGTGCAACGCCTTTTTCACGTTCTTGGCGTTGCCTCCCCATGAAACCATGTGGGCATCTCCATGACAAAGGTCACGAGCGAAGTTCTCAGAAAGGACAATGTGCTTTAACAGGAAGTGTTGCCCATCTTGGACTTGAAGAACAGCCAGTTGCAATTGGAATGACATGCCGGGAGAGTTCTTCAGGCGAAAGGGTTCAGGAAGATCATGAAACCGCCCTTCTTTGCATGCACTCGTGACCTTTGTCTCCAAAGCATTGTTGAAGTTGATGATTCCCACAAGATCGAAGATATGCTTGACCCTTGTGTCTTGAGGGAGAGGATCTAGTGGAAGATCAGATGGTGACACAGGACCTCGAGGAAGATGCACTATATTGGGCTTTGCAAGGACCCGCAGCTGGAGAGAGTTCGTTGCATTCAAGGCTTCCTCGAGGCCAATTTCACTCCCTTCAGCAATCATCTCAGCTACAGGAGCAAATAGATGCCTTGAGTTATGGATGCTGCAGATCAAGATGACAAGGTTATATGATGGTTCATACTCATATAAGCATATGCTCACCCCCATCTCCAAATTTATCATGATTTGTATGATTTTCCCTCAAAAGGTGGGCCCTGGGGGGGGGGTGAGCATATATATATATAGATATATTTTGCAAACAATATGAATCTGTGTACTGCTGCGTCCATGCCAAGAAAACACACCCACACCCACGTTCACTGTAAACACCGGGATTGGTCTGGGGTGCAGATTTTAGAAGGGATAATCAGTATTAGAATATATCTATATACTTCTAGTAAATGAATAATGCAAACACTCTGCGTCTTTGTGTTTGAAACCTCTTTGCGCAGTTTCCAGTGGAATATATATATGTATATATATATATATATGTGCATATGATATTGTATATAAGTTTACGTTTGTATACTTCTACTCGATCCGCGCGGTATTGAAGACAAAGGTGCGCCTTCCAAAGACACAGGCCTTACGGCGGGCTCTCCCACCTAGACCCTAAACCCACAGACCTCCCTTGGACAAATGACCCGAAGTGCTCCTCCCACGGTGATGCCTAGGAGCTTGCAGCCGAAGTACCCCGCACGGCGCTGTGGCATCCATTCCACACTTCATGCCTACTTGTTTGTGTGTATAAGCTTTGTTTACGGTCTTGACTGAATTGGGTTTGCTTTTCTCCCCAGAATGCAACCCCAAATTGGGGGGGGGGTATCCCGAACGGGACTCCACTAAAAATCATGCCTAGATAGCCAAGTTGCTGCCTTTTTCAGTCACTGTTGCTGGGTTTTTTGTTGGTTTTTTCCTGGATGTAAACAAGCACCAACTGGCGATCCAGGCATGAATTGCTCTCTTTGCCAGACCCTCTAGTTAGCACCCAAAGAGGAGGTCTGTCTCCAGAATTTGGGGGTTCCTTTCTTTTTCCAATGGATTCCTACAAAAAGTCATTCTTTGTTTTCCGGGTTCCTATGTTTTTCCCGCTAAAACTCATGGTCGTCTTCTGGATTCCTACGGTTTTTTTCCCCATCGACATGGAGTCAGTCGGCACCGGCGCAGGCCTACCCCGCGGACGTGACCTCCTTCGTGGCTTGCCATTTGGCGCAGTACGCCGGGGGCCTCGAGGCGTTTCAGATTCGCCACGCCGAAGCCGTCGGCGTGAAAGGGAAAAGGCGGTGTGGTGTGGTGTGGGTGTGGGTGTGGTTGGGGTTGAGACTGGGGGAGTGGAGTGGAGGGTGGCTTGGAAGTAGAGACTGGATGGGCTTGGGAGGCGCTGGCTGGCAGATTGGAACTGGATTGCGCAGCCTTTGGGAAAGTTGACTGCGGGCGGCTTGGACCAGTTCCTCGAATTTTGCACTAAACGACATGACTCGCTGGGTTTTGGTTTCGCTTCTTTGTGGTGGGTTTCATGGCGCAGCAGAGCGAGATCTCAAGGATCCGCAGCGTGATCCGGACGCTCCCTTCGCCTGGTATGAGAAGCAGAACCCCTGCACCATCGCTGGCAACTTGGAGCAGCTCGGCCTGGAGCTGGAGCTGGCGAAGCGGAAGGGGATCCAAAGCCCTCCGGAGCCCCGCCCCCTGTTTTGCCAAAATAAGACCAAGGCGGCCTTAAGGACATATACGGCCAGATATTTGGATGAACTGGGGGGGGGGGGGGGGGTTTGGGGAGGGGGAGTTGGATAGTTCTGGGCGGTGAACATTGACAGGGCAAGTTCTGCACACTTGCATCACGTGTTGCACCTCAGCGTCTCATTGGCGTAGAGCAGCGGCCGAGACTTGCTCTCGCCAATCCGAGGAAGGTCTGGATCGTCAAAGGCTGCCTGGTCTTCGCCGCTCGGATGAAGAGAGATGCGCCGTTAGAGGCGGGCATAGGTTCCCAAATATTCGTCCAAGACCTTTAAGAGTCGCAACCACCTCCTGGACATGAACCTCCACCCAATTCTGATGTCCGGCCTAGGGTCCCTAGTCAAATTTGACACGTATATCGTGGAAGGGAGTTCACTTGATTTTCACAAGGTATACACTTAAACCTCATGGGGGAAATCACGTGGGGCATTTCCTAAAGGGTCGCTAGTTGCAAGTGGGACCTTTGTTGGAAAGAGCCTGTGGCCTACCCAAAAGTGCGGGTTTGCTGTTTGCTCATACGAAGTCGTTTGAGGCCACTAAAAACGGTTTGTTTGAAGGGAAACCAAAAGGGAAAGCCTTTTTGGTCCACATAGGGTTGAAGGGAATCCACCCAGACAAACCCCTCTTTTCTTTGAAGGGACACCAAAAGGAACGCCTTTTTGGTGCGCCTTTCTTTTGACCCCGAGCCGCCCCACTTTGCGCTGGAGCTGAGGCGATCCTCATCTCCATGGCGCACAGCTTCCCTGCCACGGTGCTCTTCGTAGGGTCTAAGCAGAGGCGGGGAAACCGCCGTGAGACCTGACCGGGGGGATCTGGCGGTCAAAACCGTTGTGGTTGATCCCATTTTGGTTGGGATTGGTGAATTCAGCACCCATTTGAGGCTGCCTATGTTAGTGGTTGGATTGAATCGGATGTTCACTGGGGGTAACTTGGGCTTTGAAAAGCCCATGGCCATCTTGGCTTGGAGAAGTGTCTCTGACCGGGGTCCATCTTGGAATGGGTGTGGTTCCTTGGTTTGGTGAACCCCGGTTTGGCTGGTTTGCAAGGGAAGCCACAAGGAAACCAAACTAGGCGGTACCCCTTGGAGAGAGACCGAAATGGGTCCTCTACGATAGCCAAGCTCAGTCGGGGGCTGTTTGCCTCCCTGAACTTCTGGATCTCAGCACACCGCTGGTCACAGAGCTATTTGTCCGCTGCGGGAAAGCAAACAGTGGATCACTGTGTCAGAGCTCATGTCCAATGTTGAATCTGTGCATGTGGAGCTAGGGGACACCAAGCTTACCATGTAGGTCCTCTTGGGGATCCCTTTGATTTTTGAGTGTTTTTCAAATTCTAAATCGACCCCCTTTAGATTGGTTTCTATCTGAGGGGAAACCCACACGGTGGACCGAACCTCCTTTGGTTGCTGTTTAAGGGGAGACAACAAATGGGTGGATGGTCGCATCAAACGGAAAGCCAATAGGAAGCCAAGCTGTTTGAGAGGGTCCCGTTCTGCGAAATACCTTGCCAATCTGACAGCATTCCGGCCTCTGAGTAGCAGTATGGTTGCGGGAGTGTTGCTTTTAGGGCCTTTTGGTTTTTGGCCACGCACCCCAAAAAGGCGTCTCTCAAGACACGATCGAAACATCGATCGACCGCGATGTTTCCCCCACTCCGGCAGGTTTGCCTGGCGCTTCCCATTGAGCATCGGCATGTACATGGCATTGGGCGCATCGGCGGCATGGGCAATGAAAGATGTGGGTCTTGCCGTGTTTGGAGGCGGAACAACCTTTTTGAGGTTGGTTTAAATGGACGCCAAAAAGAACATCGCTGTTTTTGGAGGTGAGGTTGGTTTAAAGGGAAGCCATGGAAAGCCAAAGGAGAACGCAGATCTGAGAATCTATTGGCAGGTTGTCTCAAAATATGGGGCCCCCAAAGCGCGTGGTTCCTTTGGCTTCCTTGAAACCAACCCACAAAAGCGTACCCCAAGAAAGAGGTAGGCCCATCTGAATATCGAGGGGTCAGAAAGGACCGCAATGAAAAGTTGTTGTCGACTGCGTGCACTTGAAATTTGAAGCGGGGCATCTCAGTGGGACTGAAAGAGTTCATTTGTTTCTTTGCCTCAGGCACCTTTTTCTTCCAAGCCGTTGCGGTGCACGGCTCAGAGAGAAGGTCACATGGGTGTTTCTCAAAATTAGTTGGACCCTTGAGGTGGTTGATTTTGATTTCGACTTACCAAAAAAAGGACCCCTATTTTGAGAAACACCCAGATGCGACTGCGGGGCATGAAAGGACAATGCTTTTTGCACATCAACGCCTGTCACATTGCTGCATTGAATGCGACAAGTGAGCAGTCAAACCTACACCCATTGCAAGAGAAGCCAGCTTGCAAAGGACAGATTCATCGTGTACTGTACTGCCCAGGTCATAAGCGCAGCCACGCTAGCCGTCATCTCAGACATAGTCGAAGTGCTTGGATGTCGGCGAAAAAAACCTCCGTCTTGTTTTTGCGCAGTCTCGCTGGATAACAGAAACTCCTCGCAAGACATTGCCAGACAGTTGAATCAGCCAGACATTTGGGGTAGACTTAGGATTCATGTTACAGTTTACCAGTGACTCAGAGTGAAGCAAACAAGAACATATGCATTCTATAACTGAGCCTAAGTCTAATAATGATCTTACCACACAGCAAATAGGTGTTCAACACTGGCAAGCCGTTGCTTAGGTTGTTCAGACCAGTCTCAACGGCCCTGGCTTTTGGTGCCTTGCACGGGTGCCCAGCACGGGTTCTGCGAATGGAATTGAACAAGCGGGAATTGCCTTCAGCAGAGCCAGGGATTATGTCACGCTTCGGGGACTGCCAAGGTTTTGGCTTATACTTTTGTGGGCAGAGTGCCTGCGGAGGCCAGTAGCCAGCTCCCTTGGCTTTTGATTCTGAGGGGTCGCAAGGATTGTTATTTTCAACCACGGCGAGTTTGGGGGAGTCAATCAGAACAAGAAAGGTACCATGATCGAGCTTTGCCCCAACTTTCGCCCTTCGACTTTTGATCTTGGTGCATTCTTGTGGGCCTGGCAGTGAATTCAGCGCCCACTTTGCTCTCACTGCCCGAAACCTGACGCACTCAGCATTGGACTGGTTGATCAAAATGGATGATTCCTTTTCTTGCACCTCAGTTACTCAGTTTGATTCGGCGTGCTAGGTCCGAGCGGATGTCACTCGTGTGAGCAGGGCTGACCCCACAAACCTGCTAAGCGTGTGGTCCGTTTTAAGGAATGCACCCCTGCAAAAGGGCGGTTCCCTCTCAAATCCTGGATCTCTCCATGCCCAATTTCTTGGCAACCGCTCCATACCTGGAATCCAATTCAGCCTGCAGCCCCTCGCCATAAAAGCAACAAAACAAGACATCGGAACCCAGGAACCGGGAACCGCTCTAGAAACTTTCGGAACCGTCAGCCACCTCCCCGAGCCTCCGGAATTTTCCAGGCCCTTGGAACCCCGGAAGCCGCAGGGCCCGACGCTTTATGGAACCTAGCACCCAAAGGCAGCTCCGCACTCCGGAGCGGGAGACCCCCATAGACTGCTGTTGCCTCTGGAAAACCACCTCTGGACCTTCAATCTACCCCGAATCAAAAGTGGGCATCTGTTTAAAAGCAAGCTGGACAAGCTACATGTTGAAGGAATATGGTGGTGCTGTATCCTATTTGTTCCATGTAAGTTGAGAGTCCAGGTCCCCCTCAAGAGACGTCTCAGACCTTCGGCTTGATGAGCAGCTTGGTGGCGGCGGCTTCTGCGAAAATGGCACAGGCGGGACGCGGGGCGCGGGGCGCGGCGGGATTCGGATGGGCGCCCTGGCGTCGGGGTACGTATTTAAGTCCACGTCCATTTGCTCCAAGAGATGTGTTATTTGGCCTTCCTGGTTAGCCAAGTTGCTGTTTTTTTAGTCACTGTTGCTGATTTTTGGGGGTAAAGTGGATGGAGAAAAGCGATCGCAACTGGATCGATCCAGGTTGTTGGGTTTTGTTGGGCATCTATCACCACTGGCTATATTTTGGTGTTTTCACTTGGCTTAAGCAAATGCTCTGGTCCATGCACGCGCATGGTTTCCAACTTTCCTTGAAGTCCAGTTCAACCCATGGTTGTGGAACATCGAGTTTTCGGGTTGCCAGCTTCTGCGAGAACCCGAGAATCCCCTGTGAAGTGATAAGAACTGGGGGAGACTTAGGATACATGTTACATGTTACCAGTGACTCAAAGTGAAGCAAACAATAAAATATTTTTTTTTATAACTGGGCCTAAGTCTAATCATGAGAAGATGCTAAAGCATAGTTGAAGCGGGTTGGCAGGTTTGGGAAGGTCTTAAAAGCAGACGGACCCTCGGAGTACGCCAGCACGCAATGCGAACATCCAGTGGGTTGCTTCCTTTTTTCTTTTTTTGGGTAAGGGTTCCGATCCCTATACACTCAACCAACAAAAACGGGTGTCCTGATATTCCCATGACCACTGGGCATCTGAGATTTTTAAGGCCGCCACAAATGGATGGCGTTCTTGAGGCTTTTCTTTGGCAGTGGAAGGGGGTGTCCCTCAGGGTTCCTTTTTGGTGTTGAGTGTATGGAAATTGTGGGAACCCTTGTGGGGAAGCAGGACAAGTTCTTAAAATCCATAAACCTGTAAAATGAAACTGAATTCGGAACCCTTCACGGGTGGACATTGACGGGTTCCACGCTCAATGTTCACCAGAGCCAATGCCGCAAGCAAGCGTCTTAGGGACCGATCTGGGCTTCAGATCGAAGTTCTGATCGAGCCTTTCGGATGCTCGGATCCTCCCTACCCCCTTGTTTTTCCCAACTCCGGTTCCAGCACCCTCCAAGTTTGGTGGCTTTTCCAACTGTAGGGCAGTGCCATTTTTCTTTTTTAAGACGAGCCATTTTGGGTATACCTGCATGAAGTCCATTTAAGATTGAACAGCTGCCATGTTTCTTTTCAACATTTGGGCCATTTTGGGTCTACCTGATGGCTCAAGAAAAAATCTTCAGGATACAGGTATACTATACCTGTATCCTGAAGTTTTTTTTCTTGAGCCATGGGTCATGGAGTTCGCCACCCTCGGGCGCGTAATGCGCGTGATGTCAGGTGGCCTTGACCTCTGAGGAGCCAGAGGCGCGTTTCGGGATGGACTATAGGTTTTTGGAGGTTTTTGGAGGTTTTGGGATGTTTTTGAGGTTTTTGGAGGTGTTTGGGAGGTGTTTGGAGGTGTTTGGAGGCTTTTGGAGGTTTTTGGAGGTTTTTGGAGGTTTTGGGAGGTTTTGGGAGGTTTGGAGCTGTGGAGGTTTTTGGAGGTGTTTGGAGGTTTTTGGAGGTTTTTGGAGGTTTTTGGAGTTTTGGGAGGTTTTTGGTGTTGGAGGTTTTTTGAGGTTTTTGGAGGTCTTTGGGTTGGGCTTCCCCCTCACAAAAAGTCGGACTTTGAGGGGATCTGAAAACAGCCCGGAAAAATGGAGGTTTCTCAAACCCATTTTTGGCAGGTTGAAGGGTACACCAGCCCTCAACAGAACCCATGTTTTGCGTGGCACCTATTTTGAGAAACCTTGAAATAGCGCGAGCCCACCGAGAATACCTGGGGATTCCCTAGCAGCTTGAAAAGCCTGGTAACAAGTCAGTGACCCCGTCACTAACATGGCATCGCAACGATGTTTCGGTGGAGTCTCCAAATATTGCAAGGGAAGCAGTTGAAGCCCCGGCAGCTTCTCTACATGGATTTCTGCTCTGATGTACCTCAAATCGCCTTTTTCTTTTAAGCTGCACCTTAATTGTCCATGGTACCTGCAGCGTTCTTACGGGATCAACCGAACTCTGACCGTCTGAACGTAGGGAGGTTTTTTCGCATTGATCCTGAACCGACAGGACGTTTTTTTTGTTGCCTGGCCTTGAAAATCCGTCGAAAAGGCAGGAAGTAGACTTTGTCAAAGTCTTTGGTGCATTTTGCTTGGATGTTAGGACGTTAACTTTTTGCCAACTAATGGGTTTTCCATTAAACCACTAAAAGTTAAACTTTTAGCAGGGGAGCAGAAAGCAACCGAGAATTGATAAGCCTAGTGCAACGCCGTGGAGTTCATTGGCCATTTGCCGAGAAAAATGCTTTCTGATATGTGCTTCCTGAACCGTTTGTGCCATGCTGAAAAGGTCCCCTTCCTGGGATTTGGGGGAGTATTAGGGATAGCCTGGGAGTTGAAACAACAATCCGGATTCCCAAAGTAGTCACCATAGAATTTGGGAGATTTCGCCATGGCTCCTTGGGGTGGGTCCTTCCATTTGCTCAAGAATCTTGTTTCTTTTCCCCTGTTGGTTTTAAAGGGAATCTATTACTACTGGACATATGTCATTTTTTTCCAGAGGGCGAATAAGCAAATGGACGCGGTCGCTCTTTCGAGGCGCGTGGCTTTTTTGGAGGCCCAACCGTGGGAGACTCCGCGAGAAATGAATTCGTGGCCAGGGTCCGAAGGGTCCGTCGGTGGCATTTGGCAACCTGGCGCCGCGCCCTCGGGGGTCGTCGAGAATGTTTTTTTCGGCCGAAGGGTCCGGTGCCACTGACGGAAGCTCTACTCAGTGACCTAGTCCCAGTCTAGTGGATTCCGCCTCCTTTTTTTCCAAGTGTTTGTTTGGGTTTAGGGTTCCGATCCCTTTAAACTCATTCAAAAAAGAATGCCAATTTATTTTTCCCATGGCCGCTGGAGTGGCCAAAAAGGCAAAACCTGAAATTGAAAGACACAATAAGTGTTCCGATGCTGGGGTGGACTTAGGATAGATTTTCACATTTTACCAGTGACTCAAAGTGAAGCAAACAATGAAATATACATTCTAACTCTAGTCATGACTGGAGTTCTACCTAGTGACCTAGTGGTCAAAAGGGTGAAGCCTGAAAAACACATCAGAAGTCAATGGGTTTTGGGCGCTCATGTGGTTCTCTGCAGCTTGCTTTGCCTCAGGCAATGTGCAATGGGAAAACTGGTCGTTCACTAACTCCCAGCACCAGCCAGCTTGTTGCATTCCCTACCTGGGTCACATGGGGCAACTGGGTCAACTGTGAATTCGAAAGAAGAGCAGCCACTTGGCTTTGACCGCGTGTACCACCA